CGCCGCCGTATCCAACACCACCCTACTAACCGGCTCCTTCATCTCCAGCATCCCACTCTCCAACAACACAGTCGTAACGCAAATAGTATTACTCCCGCTCATAGGCGCATACTCGTCGCTCTCCAGGATGAGGAAACCGGCATGAGCGGAGGGGTCGCAGGGGGATAAGAGCAGGTTCATGCATTGGGAGACGCGGCCGAGTGGCTCTTGCATGAGGCGTTGCCGGTAGTGGTCGGCGTTGTGGAGGAAGTATTGCAGTTTGGCGTACATGGTGGGGAGGTGGATGGGGTCGGGGATGCCGGAGGTTATTACGTCGCCGATTTCGCCTTCGGCGTGGACGGTTGTTATGTGGATCAGGGGGGAGGGGGGGTTGGGTGGTGGGGTGGACATTTTGGTGGTGGTGAGGGTGGTGGGTGAGGGTGTGGAGTGGGAATGCTGGGGCTGGAGGAGGTGTTAGTATGTGTAGGTATGTTGGATAGGGATGATGTCTGTTTATACTGACAGTTTAGTGATTTGATATCCTTTCCCATGTCTCTTCCATGCATTCGATAAGTTGATAATGCTGTGTATCCAAACTCCATACGATCGGCCCCCGGAAGATGTCCTTCAATAAGTTAATATTTCGAGAGACTATATATTCATCACTCCAGCGATAAACAGAGTCAGCGTACTATCGGATCCCATACACGACCCACACAAATGTACTCGTAGGGCGTGCAGAGCACAGCCAAGTGCTAAGATGCATACCCCGCTTCCTACAACGAGGGGTCAAGCTTACCAACATGTCAAGACGAACTGTGTTTATAAGCACATTACCACGAGAACTCAGATCTCAGTGGGTCTGGATGCTGAATCTCGACCAAATTACTATTACTATCCTATGAGGCGACTCTTTCTCCCTAAGTTCTATGACATTACAAACAAGGACTTTGCTCTGCAAAGCGAGGCCACTATACTCAAACTTTTGATGCAGCGAACGTAAAGAATGGTATGTACACGCAGAAACAGGTAGCCGATGGAGATCGACCTGCGATCGCACAAGCATATATACACCTTAACCCCACCCATATCGTAACGGCGTCTCAATCTTCCTAACATGCAATGTGATGCAGTTAGAAAGAACGTCTAGCGGACCTTCTTCGTCTCAGAAGCGTATGTACGATCGTTCTCGTCACCCTCAACTTCCTCCACCATCTTATCGACGGCCTCAGCTTGCTTCTTCCACTCGGTTTGGCACATTTTGAGTTCCTTCTGGAAAAGCTCGTCGTTAGGCTTCCTGTAGCTTCCACCAAGACGGTCCCACAGCGTCGTGTATTGACCGTAGTTGTAGTTGAAGTATAGGTGGTGCATGGTATGGCAAGCAGCACCATTGATAATAGGCGAGTTGTGCGCGTATTCGCCGTCGTGGATCAGGACAGTCCAGATGTTGACGAAGACGAAGAGGAAGACGTATGCGAATTTCGAAAGTGGGAACAGGAAGGGGAAGATGTGGTAGGGAAGGCCCTGGGCGTAGCCGTCGGCGGGGTGGAACGCGTGCGAGGCGAAGGGCGTGGGCATGATCCACTTGTGGTGCGGCTTGTGGACGTGCTTGTAGACGCGGGGGTGGTGGAGGCCGCGGTGGATCCAGTAGATGGCCGAGTCGGTGAAGAGGAAGAAGAGCGGGAACTGCAGGTAGTTGTACCAGAGTCCTGGGCCTTGGTCTACGGTGTCGTATAGCTTGGAGTAGCCGCGCACTTCGAGCAGGAACCAGGGCACGGTGAAGATGGCCATGATGGGGAAGGCAATGTTGGCCTGCTTCATCTCGAGCTTGATCTGGTTCTTGAGGTAGCGCGGGTGGTTGAAGGTCGACTTGTCGAAGACGAGGAAGTACGAGGCGCCGGCGAAGACATAGTATACTAGGACACCAAAGAGCCTGGAGCGTTGTTAGAGGAGAACTACGTAAAAGGCTGGGGCAGCGCATACCATGTGATGAGGTACAAGGACACGGCCTGTCGCCGCCAGTCGTCGCGTGTCCATTGGCTCATGTAGGCATACTTGGAGGGCTCGACGGAGAAGAATTGCGTCGAGGGCTCGTACTGCCAGGTCGCGTGCGGAAGCGCAAAGCCCGTGGGCTCCTCTCTAATGCTCGAAACCGTTGCATTGCCGACGAAAGAGGGTGTGGAAGCGGGGAGGAGGGTCGCGTAGAGAGGGTCGAAGAGAAAGGTGTCTGCCAGTTCGAGGACGACGTCCATGGCTATTCGGCTGGGGCGAGGAGACGCCTCGGCGATCGGCGGATTCAGGTACGGAAGGCCTGCGATTCGTGATGTTTGAGGACCAACGGGCGCACACAATGCAGGTACACGTCACAACAAGAGACAGGCAAGAAGAGCAATGTAAGAAGAGCAGAGTATCTAGGATAGAGTATAAACGAATGTGGGGAGGCGAATGCTCTCGTTCAAGTAGGTAGTCATAACGGCAACGCTTCCATTTATCGGCGATAAGTTTTCGGCGCCCCGAGTACAAGCGTCCCTGAGGGAATTGTCGCCAGGGTCCATGTTAACTGCTTTGGTTCCTCAACCGTCGACCTTGTGCCAATCAAGCGTCAAGACGGCCGGCTAGAGACGCTCACGTGACTACGCATCACAATCTCGCGCGCCGGAATCGACGCATCCGCTGGTTCCGGAAGTGGACTGACAGCCCTACAGACGCTGCCCCTTATCAGATCTTCTCATCCGATCCTCGGAACATGCTCGGACGGTGACAGCACGGTTGACACGCCACTCTTGCGCTTACAAACCGTGATTGCGCGTTTTGTGGCGTGCATTTGTCTTGACTGGTAGTGAGAATCAGTTATTGGTGGCATGGGAGGTTTGGTTCTAGGCGGTCTCGGCAGACCCTCTTGTGAGTCGTATACAGCTGATGCTCATTCGTCTCTATTTGATACCAGGCCTCGACAACACAATTACTTTGCCACAATGCTGACAACATCCTCATCGGCCACTACATGCCCCAAGCCCACTTTCTGCGGCACGTGCCTGGCACTTGCGCCCCAAACCAGCGCATGCTTGAACGTCTCCTTCAGCGTCCGATGGACTTGGTCGCAAACATCCTCAATCGTGCTTCCGTGTCGTACAATGAGCGCCTCTGAGAAATCTGGGTCATTGCCCTTCCTCTTTGTGTACACCCTGATCAATCTCAACTCTTCCCAACACCTGTCCACGACGTCTTGAATACCGAGATCGAGCTCACAACTCATGACGACGGTGTGTGGCTCGCGTGCTAATTCGTCCAAGTGCGGGAGACCGATGCTATCGATCTTGTTGTACACGTAGAGACACTTGATGTATTTCCTGTGGTCCTTCATGATGACGTCGATGAAGTCGTCGACTGTTGCGTTTTCATCTCGGACGAGGACTTCGCAGTTGAGCATCTTGTAGTCTTTGAGAATGTTGTAGACCATCTTCTCGTCGAGATGCTTGGGCGGGACCTGGAAGTTGATTTTCATGCCGCCAGCCTTCTTAGGCTTGAGATAGATGTTCCTGTTGTCGATGAGATTCTGACGTGGAAGTATTGAGGTGAACTTACGGTGGCTCACGGTTCAATCTGATACCCACAGCTTCCAGTTCAGCTTCCAGCAATCGCCTCTGTTCCGCCTTCTTCGTAGCATCAAGAATCATGCAGACAAGATCACTCGTCTTCGCAGCACTAATGACCTGTCTTCCTCGTCCCTTACCCTCCGCAGCACCCTCAATAATACCCGGTAAATCCAAGACCTGAATCTCAGCACCACCATACTCAAGCACACCAGGAATCGCCGTGAGAGTGGTGAAGGCGTAGGATGCGGCTTCTGATTTTGTCTTTGTGACTCTGGAGAGGAAGGTCGACTTTCCTACCGACGGGAAGCCAACGAGTGCAATACGCGCATCTCCGGATTTCGATACATCGAATCCTTGTCCTCCACCGGAACCTGCACCTGCAGCGGGTTCGAGGAGTTGTGCGCGGAGACGGGCAAGTTTTCTGTAGCATGGTTAGCATACAGAGACTATATATAGGAGTATAGATAGTGTACCCTTTCAGTAGACCAAGATGGTATTCTATACTTGACTGTCAGCACGTGATGCACAATGCATCCAGTATCGATGCAATCAAATCCGCTTCTACATACCCGTAGCCTTATTCTCTGCATCTCGTTAGCGCAAATATCATCAAAAAGCACTGTCCCACTCACTCTGCGTCCTCCTCATCTCATCCTCAATCCTGGCGGGGCGTTAGCGCAAGGCCACATCAAAACTTCGGCGCTATCCCACTCTTTGATCTTCTCCGTAATATTCACCATCTTGACGGTTTACTTCGCACTCTTCGCACTCGGGATAGAGAGGGACTGGGGTGAGAATGAACGGTAATCGCACTTTGTGGCGGGCTGCAGTCCGGCAATATCACGATGGTAAAGGTTTGGTGTTGCAGGCGCCCGCAGCCCAGCGCCATTGCGCTTCGGGCCTAGCGCGTCAGCTAGCGAAGGCAAGATGCAGTGCGTCATCTGAAAGGCCATGAGCTTTTGCGCCACGCTGGTTTGTTTTGTGGTTTCTAGTGCTTAGTCTTGGTGCTTTCTTTCCTATGTTGTGAGTTTCTTACTTCTGTATCGCTTCTCGTTCTGGCTTGGAAGCATGTTGTTTAAATCCGAGGATCCTTGGCCGCGCTCGCATCACGACTTATTAGATCACTACCACGCTCAATACGATAAAGCTATCGCATCTGGGGAGTACCAACCATTCTTGTATCCATGGGGAACCCTTGGCGCCCTTTTTGTTATCATATATCTTCTCATCCCACATCAGAACCGGCCATGGCTCAAGAAAGGACGGTACTTGGCATTTGCATGGATTGCCGGATTCGCAACTTACAGTAACCTATACACAAAGGCGAGGGCTGTAGCACCAGCTTTGGGTATCGGTCTGGTCAACGCATGGAGTATAGCATGGGTTGGCGCGATCATAGTGTGCAACGATGCACAAACAGATTTCATGAGGATTGAAAGGACCGGAGGCGTTTTTGGCTCGGATCCAGACCAGCGGAAAGAGAAGACACAACACGATAGAGGTGCAGAAGCCAAAGAAGAAATCAAGAATCACATCTTAAAAGCCGACCTCGTCAACAGCTCCTCCGGGCCACGAGACCGCCACGGCCAATACGCATGGCAACCCTACCCTCTCCGCCCCTTCATCGAGCGCCTAGACTGGGTACTGGATATATTCTGCAACTTCCGGGGCATGGGCTGGAACTGGCGTACCACCGCCCTGCCCCCACCCCCAAAACCCATCCAGATCCAACTCGACGCCAACTCCAAATCCACCGTCCCAAAGCACACCTACAAAACCCACGCGGGCCAAGTAGCACAATTCACAAACCGGCGCACCCTCCTCCAGCAAAACACCTGGCGCCTACTCAAAGGCTACCTAGTCCTCGACCTGCTAAAAACAACAATGATGTGGGATCCCTATTTCTGGGGCTTGACAAACAGAGCAGCACCACCACCAGCCCACCTCCCCTCGTGGCTCACAAACAGCCCCGTACTAACACACACATACCACCTCCTCCTCAGCATGCTCGCCGTAAAATACGCGCTCCAAACCATCTTCGCCCTCGGCCCCCTCTTCTTCAGCGGCGCCCTCTCCCCCTCTCTCCTCGGCGCCCGCGCAGAACCCTGGATGTATCCTGAGACGTGGGCGCCGTACAGCGTGGTCTTGGATAAAGGGCTCGCGGGCTGGTGGGGCAGTTGGTGGCATCAGACTTTTCGGTTTGCGTTCCAGGAACCTAGTCGCAAGGTTATTGAGATGGTGGGCTTGGATAAGAGGGGGGTGGGCGCGAAGGCGTTGCAGCTTTTTGTGGCGTTCTTTCTGAGTGGCGTTGTGCATGGCAGTGGGAGTTATACTGCGACTGGGGAGACGAGGCCGGTAAGGGGGCCGATGGCGTTTTTCTTGCTGCAGGCTGTGGGGATTTTTGTTGAAGCAGGGTTGACGCAGGCTGCGAACGGAGCTGGACTAGGGAGGAGTCTGCCCAGCTGGCTGAAGCGGGGATGGACGTTTTTGTACGTTCATGTCTGGTTTTATTATACGGCTCATCTTCTTTGCGACGACTTTGCTCAGGCGGGCGTTTGGCTCTTCGAACCTATTCCTATCTCTCTGTTTCGCGGACTGGGATTCGGACCTGATGCGAGAGATGGGTGGTGGTGCTGGGGTGGACAGCTCGTACGCTGGCATCGTGGTGATACGTGGTTGACGACTGGTATTGCGTTTTAGAAGCTTCTACCGTCTCCTACGTGTAAGTCGTATGTCACATACCCTCTAGTAGATTCCCTACATACAGCACTGTAAACCGATCGATAGACCCAGAAAGAACAAGACACAGTTCTTCAAGAACGTACGCTCTCTGTCTTCCCATTAGTCTTCCAAGAAGAAAGCTCTTCCGTTTTCACTTCCCCAATCACTGCGAAAACTCAGTTGCGGTACGTGTTCAACCAACACCCGTTTTCACTATTTCACAGATCACTTCCACCTGCCAGCAAAGTAAAAGTACCCTTTTGCTGTACCAGTAGACTATCGCACCTCCACATACGCCCACTCCTCGCAAAGCCCTTACCCTTGAAAAAACGTCCACGCAAAACGACGTACACCTTCTGAAGACAACCCCACCCCGTCCTACAGTCAACCGCCGACTATGAACCAAGAGCCCTCACCCACAGAAACAGTCTTCAACCAAACATGGCGCTACCTCTCCCACGCCGCCGTCCCGGCTATGCTCCCCTCCAGCGCTCTCGACGCCAACGGCCTGATCCCACGGTCGTTTTGCCCAGAGGTTTATGATGGGGTGAGGAGGACAGTGGGGGAGATGAGGGAGGAGGGGCAGTGGGCGGTTTGGTATTGGGTTGTTGGGCCTGGAGATGGGGAAGCGAGGGATGGTGGTGATGGGAGGGATGATGAGAGGGGGAGAGTAGGATGGCATCCGTGTTTTAGGTTGCCTGCGAATCGGTGAGTGCGGGGAGTTTTGATGGGGAGATGGTGTGGTTGGGTTTGAGTGGGTTGGGTGTGGTGTTTGTTTGACTGGTCGATTGGTTACTGACAACTGACATTGAATAGGCGCGTCGTCACACGGAACGTCCTCACCTCTCCCACCTCTCTCCCATACACCAACCTTTCCACCAATACCAACACCATCTCCTCACCCCCCGGTCCCCCTCCACCCCGCCGCCGCTCAATATCCTCCTCCTCCTATCTATCCACAAACCCGGACCATCACGTTTCCAACATCCTCTCTAACCCCATCGCCAATCCACGCAGCACCCACAGCCGCCGATCAAGCGCCGACACAACACGTCGCATGAGTTCCGTTCGCGAAGAAAGTAAGAGTGAGGAGGGTAGTGTGGAGGCGGCGAGTGAGAGTGTGAGTGAGAGGATAAGGAAGAGCTCGAGTTTACATGTTAGGCCGGGGATGATTAGGAAGTAAGTGAGGAGGAGGTGGACAGGGTGGGGAGTGCATTGGATAGTTTGATGGAAGTTAACGGCAAGGATATCAGAGAGGAGGGTAGCAAAGCCAACAAGCACATGTATCGATCTCGCAAGACCTCGCCTTCCTGACCATCACAGACCAACCCATCCGATGAAAACTTAAATCCCACTCCCACTGCCACTCTTCCGCCAACCCCACCGATCCTCCTCTTCCCCCGTCTCCTTGCCCAATCCATTTTGAGAAAAGCCACGACGCAACAGCTCTACACTCCATTCGAGGAACAACTTCGGAATCTTTCCTCCCACCCAACCCTGTCTGTCCTACCTTCAATACTTAAACTTTCCCTCGCGTCAATCCCCACCCCAAACCTCAGTCCAACAACGCGTCATAAACCTGAAACGCATAAACGACACACACACACCAAGGATGGCCGTCAATCACGTCATGCAGCGCCTTTCGCGACCATGACAGCATTACCGAGATGAAGGCTTTTCATGCAGGACTATGTCAGTCGCAAGGCTGAAGCGAGATGTCGAGTCAGTTGTTCCTTGCAACACCAAGAAAAGATGTTCGACTCAGCTCAGCTCAACTCAACTCAACTCAGCTGTTGGGAAGTGAGTAACGCCGAATCTAGTAGAGAAAACGGAAGGTGGAGATGGCAAATGGGTAATGATGGTAATAAATAAATATAGTACATACACGCGCCACACTCTATGGCACATGGCACATACGCCCAGTCCAGCCCGGTCCGTCTAGCCACACACACCTACACAGCCCGACCAAACCAAACCGAACAAACAAAAGACCGCAGCGCACCGACAACAGCGCATCTCGCAGCAGGGTATCGGAAAGAAACTCGGAAGAAAACGATCGCGCAAAAAACAAAACAAACAAACCACGATCTCAACGACCATGAACAAAAAGACCCGAGATGCGATGCGATGCAATGAGGAGATAGAGAAAAAAGAAACATTATGACTTTGTATGTGAGGGTTGTGCGTCGCCGCAGATATTGTGTAGTAGGTCGTAACAGCTCTTACAACAAGAAAAGTAGAAAAAAGAAAAGGGCAACCGGAATGCCCAGCCCACCCAATCAAGCAGACCCAAGAATCAAGACTGACTTGACACCATCAAACTCCTCAAACGACCAATGCAAATGAATGTCGATATGCCGCTAAACCGCGTGAATCGTTCCTTTTTGGCTTTTGAACTGTGTCTCTCCTCGTATGTCTTTGTGTTGTGTTGTACGTATAGTGGTTTGGTGTGGTATTATGACTGCGCTTCGATGATGGTGGGTTGGGAATTAACCTGCAGAGTAGGCGTAATGGGGTATGGTAGGTATTGCTCGTGCTGCTGCTGGTGTGAAGCTTCGGTGGGGTGATTATCTTCTTGCGTGTGCGGCCGTGTGCCTGTGTCGGGGCCGAGATGGGGATCTGGTATTTGGACGTCGAGCTATGGAGGGTTAGTTAAACGTGGGTTTACTCATTGTGTTTTTGTATACGCACTGTCAGGTATCCAGTCCGCCGTAGTGGGATTATGCGGACTGCTTCTTTGGACCCGATGTCGCGGTTCCAGTCTTCGATCCAGCGCTCGAGGTCGGCGAGTTGCTTTTTTACGCCGGTGAAGCCCGCGTCTTCCCAGAGCCAGAAGGTCGCGATGCCGAGGACGGTGTCGAGGCAGGCGCGGAAGGTGAATGGGTCGAAGGCGTCAACGAGAGTATCATTGATCTTCTTGATGAGTATCCGGAAGTCGTCTTCGGTGACGAGGGGGTCTAGGATCTCGGGGTAGAGATTGGCAAACGTCGGGGCCAGGTCGCCCTTCATCATCCAGTCGCGCTTTATGCGGATAATGCGCGTCGTGTTGTACAGCTCGGAGTCGAGTGGCACATGCGGGTTGGGATGGGGAAAGCAGGGATGCGAAGGGCCCCAGGGGAACTCGGACACGGCGTCGGCGTCGTCGTCAGCTGCAGACCCTGATCGTCTCGAGTGCAGTGAGGTGCGTCCGGAGCCGGGCAGGGAGACGCGCGACAGGCCGGCGGGCTGGTGGTTGCGGCCGGCTTCGATGTCTTTGTCGGCATGGGGCGCGGGCGAGACGCTGTCCCTGGGGTTGGCGGCAGAGGCCATGACGAGGCCTGGCGTGGGCGGCTGGGTGGGCGGCTGGCTCCTGCGATCACGCGGAAGGGCGATGCTGGTGCGACCGCTGATGCTGTCCTCGCCCGTGGAACGTTGGACGGCGAGGGAGCTCGGCGCAGGGCTCTGGCGACTCAGGCGGCGCTCGGGAAGCGAGAGCAGCGGGTACTCGTCGCGGCCGTCCTCTCTGGCCTGCGTCTCAAAGTCGCGCTCAATGGGCAGATTGGGATAGTGGGTGTCGCGCGGCGGGGGCAGGGCCTGGGGCGCAGGCGGCGGGTTCTGGATCTGGAGGGTGCGCGGCGACGAGTTGACGGGGTTCCAGAGACGCGAGGCGGGCTGGCGCGGCGGGCCCTGGTACAGCGCGCGCAGGTTGAGGTTGAAGATGCGGTTGGTCAGCGACCAGCGGGCAGGCACTGGCGACGCAGCAGGCGGCGGGTAAGCAGCGGAGGGCGGGCGTGGAGTCGTCGTCGTGCCGGTGGTGAACGGGCGGTGCTGGGTGGTGGTGAATTCCTTAGGGGTCCCAAGGGCAAGTGGTCCATGCTCACTGCAGCATTGCCTGCCGACAAGACCAAGTTTGCCGTGGGTGCTGTACTGTTAGGGAAGAAGGAGCAGACAGCGGGGAATCAGGTGTCGTGGATGAGTGCGCTGCACTGTTATGGCAGGACGTCGTCGTGTCGTGGTCGCCGTGGTCAGTGTCGCAGTGTTGGTGTCAACGTCTCACACGGCGGGTTTGGCAATAGCAGAGACAGAAACGGGCCATGGAATTAACTTTTGTCGCGTGCAGCAAAAGGAGCACTCAAGGGCAGCACCGGGGAGAGGAGTGAGGGCTTCCTTCTTCTTGTACACGACACGAGACGTCCGCCTCGTCCGGCGCAACTTGGGCACCTCCCAGACCAGGCTCATGAAAAAGCGCCTGCCTGCCATGGCTTGTGCAGGCTGATGACTGCCTGCCGCATCACGCTGACCCCTGCCCCTTCACCCATCCCTCACCTATCCTAGGCACTGTGCCTGCATTAGCCCGGACAATCCTGACCATCCCTAACATTCCCATCCGACTGCTGTCAATCTTAAGCATACTCGACATGCATTCCCTCTCATACGGTAATACGTTGGCGGGCACACCCACGCCTGCCGTCACCGTTGACATCCGCCGTCCGCCTCCGCTGTCGCTCACATGACCCTGACCCTGACCAGACCATGACGTTGGCGCACGCCTCGAGTACAACAGCCCAGCCCTGTTTCACAACACAAATCAATGTCCACACGATCCTCCTAACACACTCTGTTCCTCGACTAACCCGCTCAATCGCCCGTCATAATCGTCATCATCACCATCACCATCATTATTAACACACGCATGACTCCATGCCCATCCCCCTCACACCCCCGTCCCCCCTCTCAATGCTAACCAACTAACCCTCCACCCATCTCACACGGCCACACCCATGAGTAGCAACTCCCCTACCACCAATTACCCACACATCAGCCACATCCCCGGCAAGCCCTGTCAGCTCTATACCCAGAACCGCGTCGTCGGGATTCCGCGCACTTGCTCTCCTCTGAACAGCGTCAAGTCCGTGTGCTCGACTTGACCCCTATTCTGGCGTTTACTTCCGATGACTAGTCTGTATATGATGTCAGCCGGCGTGTCTGTGCTGGTGGCGATGCGGTACGAGGCTGGCTGTTTGCAGCTTTGCCGGGTGCGTGGAGAGATGGTGCCGTAGGTAGCATCGTGGGTCGTGTGGCTGCGTGCGGCGTAGTGTCGTAATAGTGAATCCTGTCTCCAGCCTCACTTTTCCCGTTGTCCAGGATCGACGTCGCTTGTGTATGAGTGTAGACGGCGACTACGCTTCTCATATCCTGGGTATAATACTCTTGTAATAATAACTGCACATCCTATTACTGTCGATCTATAAAGCACACTCACTGCTCATTTCACATTTCACGAATGGAGTCGCTATGCCGGTTCATATGCTCTCGTATTGCTAATAGCTGCAAGATTGTTGTATACCGCAAATTCGTATATAAAATATCAACACAAATATCCCGCCCTCATGTAATGGTATATCCTTCGCGTTGCTCGTCGATATGCCAGTCCGTATCCAACCCTTATCGTGACCTGACCCGAACCGAACCTAACCTTCCCAAACCCGCTCGCAGAGCTCAAAAGGCTCTCGTGTACAACTACGTAACTACCTACTAACATAGAAAGAGAAAAGATTCTTTTGTACGGGCCCGCCGGCTCGTAACTTCATCTCGAAACCCAAGTACCTATCCAAGGAAACATATATCCCACAAGCTAAGTGTGTCGATTAGCATTCGCCTGCATCTTCCTCATCGCCTCACGATGCGCATCCATCATTTGTCCACTCCGCATCATACTATCCATCTGACTCGCCCGCTGCTGCTGCATAACCTCGCGCTGCTGCCTCTCCATCTCCTTCTGCCGGCGCTCCATCAACAGCGCCGCGCGCTGCTGTTCCGCAACGTGAGCAGCCGTCTGCGCCGGCGGCGCAATATCGCGCATCGTGTCGCGCCAACCCGCGTAGAGTTGCTCGCGCTTCTGCTCCGACTGCGCGCTCGAGGAGCGCTTGGGTTGGTGGCTGTCGAAGCCGGCGGGCGCGCCTTTGGTGGCCCAGGCTTTGTTTTGCCATTTTTGCGAGGACGAGGGGGGTGTGCGGCCCGGGGAGCGGAGCGAGGGTTGGTGCGAGAGGGAGGGGGAGAGTTGTTGGGCTTGGAGGAGTGCGCGCCGTTGGGATAGCGTCATGTCTTCGTCGTCGGCGCCGCGTTGGGAGAGGTTGGGTGACGACATTTGGGGGGTGAGGGTTAGGGCTGAGGCGCGGTTTTTGATCAGGCTTTCGCGCTTGCTGAGGAGGGTGTTGCTGGGGAGGGGCGAGAGGGTGTCGAGTCTGATGGCGGAGTTGGAGCGGGAGAGGACCTGGGGAGAGGCGATGGAGGGGGAGTGGGTTAGGGATCGCTGGTTGATGAGTGATTCCTGAGAGAAGGTCGAGGTGTTGCGTCGGAGTCCTTGGCTGCTGTTCCGTTGTGTTCGGCTTCCAGTGGACATCCTTCTTGATTCGCGCTTGCTCTCGTAGAGGAGCTCGTCACTAACTGGTGTGGGCTTCTCTTCTGATCCGTCGGCGAGCATGATACCGGGTGACGAGGGCAGGAACATGTCTTCGTAGTCTGGCTTTTCGGCAGCCTCGAGATGCTTCGCCCATTCGTTCGTGCGGTAAGATAGGGCGATTTTCGACAGCTTCTCCGGCATCACGTTCTCGGCCAGACTGCCAACCTGTGATCCGCCTTGTTCCATTTGTGAGCCTTGAGAGATTTCATCAGACTTGGTAGACTTGGAGTATTTCTCGCTGCTCGCCTTGGAGCTAGACATGACCGTGTCAGCCCTGTGCTTGAATGTCTGTTCCTCGGGCGAGTCTGCTGTCTTTGGGTCGGTACTAGTCGTGAGAGATTTTACTACGTCAGCTGTGTTGACTACGCTCTTGCGGTTAGGCACAGTGTCGGAGTCCTGTCTCTTGAGTCCAGGCTTTTCAAATGGGTTGTCGTGCTCGGTTCCGATTGGTGATTCGACTGGGGACAGGTTACGGACCGATAGCACATCGAGGTCGTCGTCCAGTGTGGCGGCAATAGACGAAGCCCGGTCGTCTTCGTCACCTCGCATTCCGATCAAAGCCTCTTGCGATGCTACCATGTCCCTCGAGATACGTTGCCTCATTGCGGAGACATCAGAAACGCGCTTCGAGACGCGCCTGGGCACCTCGGCATCGTGATCAGTCTCAGGAACAGCAGAGACGGAGGTATTGTCGTCGTCAGTGTGCGCCTCATCTTCGGTAGGGACTTTGAACGGAAGTGGGACGACTGCTGGAGGTGGTGGCGGGGCTGTAGGGCGTAGGCTGTGGCTTTTGGCTAGAGTAGGCCTCGAGTCATCCTTGGGAGCCTCTGGAAGAGCCTTTTCGTTCTCAGCGGTATGGGCCTCGGATTCAATCTGTTGAATCGCATCATCATCGAGAACAGCGACAGTGACAGTCGCATCGGGCTTGGCGGTGTGGCTGGCAGATCGCATCATTCCAGTTGACATATTAACTGTGACCGCGCTGTCGTTGGGAGAGACCTCCTTCTCATGGACATGAGTAAGGTCTTTGGGATCTGAAGTGGAAGATCGGACACTGTCCTCGGGTACGTTCTGTCCGTTGCCATATGCAGCTTCCCATTGAGCACGCTCTTTCTGGAAGACCTCCTCAACCTTGCGACCTTGTTCCTCCTCTTCACGGTCTTGATCCGCCTGTCTTTCGAGTTGTTGAGCGGCAGTCTTTGCGCGGTGCTCTTTGACTAGCTTCCAAACGCGCAGCTGGGAGACAATACTGACTACTGTGATAATGACAACACCAGCCAGCTCGGCTTTGATGTTCTTGGTAACCGGGTAAGTATTGGTGTTAAGAGGGAAGATGTCATCGTTGAGGTCTGCGGAGGTTAGCAATAGTCTGCAAATAACGCACGGCAACTTACTCCAGAGGTAAAGCCAGAACTCCTTCCAGCCGGAACCAGCCAGACAGTCAATACCAAGGATGGCAGCGGTGGCTCCTGAGAAGGCGATTGAGGCGATAAGACCGTAGTTACGTGTGTAGTGACTGAAAGCTAGCGAGTAGCCTCCAGCTGACATGCAACCAATGAAGATGGCACGACCAGTTCCCGAAGTGATCAGGCCACCGTCCTTGACGCTGAGGAACCACATGCTTAGACAGAAGCCACCGAGTAGGCAGCCAAAACCTTCGGCTATGTCTGCAAAGACCAACGACAGGACACCGAAGATCACTCCAGTGAAGAAGGCCGCCACGAAGAAGGCTCCCTGGATGGCATCTGAGACGGGAGGGTTCATCAAGTATACTATCAAGACAGTGACGGCGAGAGCGGTCAGGTAGGCAGCAGACCCGAACACGTATACCCTTCTCTTTGTCAGTACAGATTGGTGAATGGATGTCGAGGTACATACCACTTGTTCTTGATACCAATGATGGCATATCCTAATCCACTAAGTAGCAATAGCACTCCAGTGACGCCCATAGCGGGGGTCAGCTTGGGGTGAATAGGCAGTGGGTTTTTTGGGTCCGCGGAGGCACTCTCTACATTACATTATTAGCTATCTCATCAGGTTCCTGACCACACAACGTACCAGAAGATACTGGAGTAGCATCATCAGATGGAGTCGTAGTAGGGACATCATTGATAGAGCTCGGTGCCGGTGTCTCTGATGGCTTGACTGAGGAAGCTTCAGTCGAAGAAGGGCGTTCAGACTCAATGCTCGAAGAGATTATTCCCGATGGGGTGGGTGTGGCAGAAGGCTGACGAGACGCACTGTCCTGAGCCTCACGCGTCGACTCCGCGGAAGGAGTGTCATCCTGTCTACGGACAGCAGCATGAGGAGCTGCCACCGCAAACTGTAGGCATAGAACAAGCGCAAGACAGAGGACCAAGTAGTGACCAGAAAAGCGCATGGCGATTATGCGGTGTAGACGTGTCTACAAAGAGCCAAATGCCATGGAGAAATTACGATTAGGATAGGAACTCGCGTCTGAACGGTCCTCCGAGGATACTCGAAGAGGAAAGCGCGACTCCTGATATGCAGCGAGGTGGTGTCTGCAACAATGACGCACGAGCAAAGATGTCGAAAGAGCAAAAATCGACGTGGTAAAGACTGTTTCAAGGAGCGAGATCGGATTACTAGTAGTAAAAAGAGCGAATGAAGAAGGAGTGTGGTAGGCACAAACGGCCAATACGCGAATGCAGGATATGCAAGTGGTGCAGACGAGATGCAGAAAGCAGGTAAACGGAAGGTGGAGGCGCACCTGGGCATATATCAGACGAGAGAAGCCACATGGGTGAGCGCCAGCATAGCCTAGACAGGAGATCGACGCCTCCTCCCGCAGGTTGCAAAAAGCGAGAGGCTTAGCGAGCACGGCCCTGTTCCTGCAATGAAGGAAAAAAGCAGAGCCCAGGAGCCCATCGAGCTCGGCGGCGTCAGAAACGGCGGCTCCTTTAGGGATGACCCATACTGCAACGGGTGTGGTGTGGTCCTTGGAAAGGTTGAAATTAAGATTGCAAATGGCAGCCACCAGCCATTCTAACGTTTTCGCGAGCAACGCCTCCAGGTGCTTTAGGGCAAAACAAGTATAGTTCAGTAGCCTATATTCCTCATCTAGTATTGACACTTGAGAGCGGAGTTCGGACGTTACCCGGTGCCAGACAGCCGTACCAGACATGCGATGAGGCGTTTGAGGCTGCCGAGTGCCGTCCGTCGATAATGCCATGGAGGCGCGCGCTGCGGGTTCCCAGCGAGCTGCACGCACATGTGCGAGATGAGTTGGTGATTACGTTCGCCAAGCAGGCACATGGCGGCTGCCATCCAGTGAGATGTTGATGAAGGAGAACGCGTCGAACGCGTCGTGAGCTGAGGTGCAGCCATTCGTAGGTAGGGCTGCCAACTCCGCAGGCAGGGGTCTCGCTACGTGCCCATGCATAAGCTGCCGCAGCGTGCATAAAGACCCTCCGCAAGGGCGCTCCTCACATAACAACGTGCAGCCCAGTGAGCCTCACCCCGTAGTCCGCCCGCAAGGTTCAAGCCTCCAACTATCGTTATCTGTAAGATCTTTCATTTTTCTTCAGCTCCCCGAGGCGGAGGGATACGTAGTCTGGATCGAAGCAAAAAGTTCATCATCGCGTTGCCCGAAAGGGAGCGATGATGTGACTGGCACGGCATCTCCTGTAACCGATGCTCATCAGATCTGCAAGCAGCCGTGCGCGTTGCCGACGATCCAGTTCTGAGCGAACCTTCGCGTGGGAATCACTTCCGTGCTTCCTGACGTTAGCACTAGCGATTCGAGCTATCGGCTTACCTCCTGTCACTAGTTTCACGACACCCTCAGACAGTTCTCACAGCTGCACTTCTTCAAAGTCACAGATTTGACGTTTAATCGCTCGCGCCTCATTGTCGAGGCATCGCAGCGTCATCTGTTTCACATAGGTCGTTGCACAGATCCTACTCGGAGTTTTGGCATGGTAGCCTGGAGGTCTGCACGTGGTTCCAAAACTATAGTGGGTCCAGTAAGATTGGCAATACATGCAAAAAGCTTCCAGGTTGAGGCGCAGGCACCTCCGCGAGTTACAAGATCCAGCTTCGATGTCCATCTTCCAATACGCACAACTAGGTTTTGACAAGAAAGGAGTGGTGGACACGGTAGCATGCAGATTCGGGGTAGTGGGAACGTATTGATGCTGGATGCGCGGTGGAAGTCGACGCTATCAGTGTACAACATATCGCATCACATCGTTTATTCCTGGTTCAGATCGATCGAAGATGCAAACGGCTTCAGAATACCGTTTTAACCGAAGGCTCCTACCAACTTGCCAGCTGTAGCGAGCTGCGCATACAGTACGTGCTCAACGGTGTGTTCATCCGTCCACCAGACAACAGCTGTCAACTGCTCCGAATCCCGCTGCCACACCGCCCTCCTCGCTCTGATCACCTTTGGTGCGGAGTAGATATCCAGCCTCCCAGTTCTCCAAGATCTCGCCCTTGTTTCCGTCTCCATTTCCATCTCTCCAGAGACACACGCCGTACACTCCAAGCTCGCAAATCACGCCACCCCTCTGCAGCTCACCGTTTCGCAGAATGGCGTTTGTCAGTGGAGGTGGCTCAATCATCTCCATTAGGATGTATGCCGGCCAATGAGTCTCGGGTAGCTTCTGCAGAAATGGTGGAATGGCTTTCCGGTAAATGTTGTTTCCTCCTCCTTCTCGCTGTGGTTTCAGCACATACTTTGTGGCCGAAGAGGCGTCCGTCGCAAGCTTCTTCGCTTCCTCGCCAGCCTCGCTGTTGTCGAGCGGGTAGATTGGCGCAAACGTCTCCAGTACGCGCGCGGCGACCTTTTGGTCGGGTAGGAAGCGCTTGAGGTGCGGTGAATGCGGCGTAGCAAGCACTTGTTGAACCTTCTTGCACCCCGCAAGTTGGGTCAAGACGCTTGGGCACTTGATGGCACGGCTCTTCTCGAGATGAGTGCGGGCGTTCCAGTCTTCGTCCTTTGAGTAATCATCTGGTGAGTACCCTGCTCGAAAGTAAATTGTCGTCACCTCGTACGACGTCGAGGGAGAGTTTGGTGGTGTGTAGACCAGTGTACGGTCTGTGTCGAGCTGAGTGTGAGACAGTGTCTCTCCGAAAGGTAGTCGGAAGGAGCGCACTCCATTATCTTCAAGCAGGGCGTATTCGAGATGTCTCTGATCAAACACATTTCTCTCTGGGTCCTGTACCACGAAAAGCACGCATAGGGGACGCTTGGTGCGCGAAGTCCCGTACGCCTTGTGTGCTGTAGCGAGGCCCTTTGCCAAGGAAGAAGCTGACTGGCTCTGTCGCAAAGCCTCTTGCTTGATAATGGATGATGTTGAACTTGGGTAAGCGTCGATCGTGAGCAGGTACTTGTGTAACGCAGAAACTTGAGCCGATAGTCCGCCAAAGGACGAAGCAATGGTATTGAACTCGACCTGTTTCAAACCGGACTTTGGATTTGACTGCGAAGGGTCTTGATGTACCATGTAGTCTGAGCGGAAGAGTCCCAACGAGAGGTCCTGCACGTAGCCTTCTTTCTTCACCTCTAGATGGGTTTGCCATAACTTTGCAACGAAGTCGTCAACATGGACAAGCTCCTCCACAATGCTCTTCAACCATGTTTCGTCCCTGGCAATGGCTGAGTACAACTCGTTGTAATCCTTTTGTATGGTGAGTCCCTCCTCGAAGCAGGAGCGTGGGAATAAGCTTGGAAACAAAGTGACTGGTGCTGTGCTTGCGAGTACACCAGACGGATCCTGTGATGGCTGGACGAATGACGGAGCCGGGCGAACCGCTAAGCCATGAGCAATCGACCAGTCCTTGAGATTGGATAGCAGGTACTGCTCCTCCTGTTGAGACAGCTCTGGTGGGTATTCGGTGAGCGATATAGAATTCATGGTGGCTGAGTTGTTTCGGTGTCGTTAGAAGAGTAGATCGCTCAGGTAAGAGAGAGACTTACAAATGCTGTCGGCGCTAGAGCGATTGCCTCATCCTGCCCCGCCGAAGCCCGAGGCGCACCAAAGGACCCTGGTCGCGCATTTCAAAGCAAATATTTGGCGACTTTTCGACGTGACAGCAATCATTGCTAACAATCTTCACCGTCAAATGTGATGGCCTTGGTGATGCTTGCCCCTCGTCGCGTGATCAAGTGACAGCGCGCACTTGCCTAGACAGGTGCCCCACCTTCTACGCGGCGCCCAATCCGCGACTGCTGTAGCAAACATCTCGCATCTCTCGCCATCACCAAACATCAAACACGGCAGCCACCGGGCTCTCACATCCGGCGCTATCAAACATGGACGACTATGCTCACCTACTCAGATGGGAGAATGTGGCAGGAGGTGACCAGATCATAGACTTGCCTGACGAGGACGACCTACAAGAGGATGATAATTCCGGGCTGGGGGATGCTGCTGAGGAGGATTCTCGGTCAGTCGACGATGAGGATGAGAACGCAGTTGAAGAACCGAGCAAGCGGACCAAGCTGAGTCAGGACAAGATTGTCGACATTATCAACGAGCGAATCAAGCTCTTCACAGATGCCTGGAAGCCAAACAGGGGTGTTGCTCGCGGCGAGGAGGTGGACTACGACCCAGTCGCTATGTGGACCGAAGCAGAGGCTAAAGGAGAGCGAGAAGCCCTGGCGAAACAGTACGAGACAGAGCACAGCTATTATAAGTCAAGACTGGATGAATTGTGCGACCAGATCGTCAAATTTCCAGGAAGCAATGCGGTAAGCAATAACACCCTGACGGTAGATGTGACATCTTCACTGACGGTGACATACTGCAGGAGCAAATACGGCGACAATGCAGCAACCTCGAGGTCACGGTCGACTCTATGGAATTTGCAGCCTGGTTACGCGACATTTACAAGCTGGAACCTGTTGACGACAGCGATGAAGAGCAAGTACCCGACGATCAAGACACCGTGATGAGCGACCGACCGGATATACCACGGACTG